TGTAACACAAAATTTACCATCTAAACCATTCTTAACTGTGCAGCTCACTGGCATTGACTGACTGCACATTCCAACAGATGTCTGGAATTTATTCATCTTGCGAAACTATAACTATACCCTAATAGCAAATGTCCATTTCCCTGGCAACTGTCATTCTATTTCCTGTTTCCATAAATTTGGCTGTTTTAGATTCTTCATGTAAGTGGTATCACATAGTACTTTTTGTGACTGGCTTATTTAACTTAGCATAATGTCCTTAAGATTCATTCATGTTGCGGCTTGTAACAGTTTGTCCTTTTTTTAAAAAAAAAAAAAGTAAAATAATATTCTATTGTGTGTGTATCATGTCCTTGACAAGCAGATAATTTTACTTTTTCCTTCCTAATTTGTAATTTTCTTGTCCAATTTCTCTGAGGATTTCAGTGCCTTATTGAAAAAATGGGGCAAGAGTGAGTATTTTTTTTGCCATGTTCCTAATCTTACTGGAAATGCTATCAGTCTTCCATCATTGAGCTCATTGTTCATTGTGGACTTCATTATGCTGACACCATTTCTGTTTCTAATTTGCTGAATGGTTTTTTATTTATTTATTAGTCATAAAAGGAATTGTATTTTGCTAGGTGTCTTTTTTTTTATACACTGAGATAATTTTGTGATTTTTTTCTTTTATGTCAATGTGATGTTTTCCTCTGATTGATATTCACATGTTGAACAATCCTTGGATTTCAGGATTAAATCTTGTTTGTAACCATGTATGTTCATGTCAGTATACTGCTGAGTTCAGTTTGTGAGGATTTTTGCACCACCAAGGATATTGGTCCGTAGTTTTTTTGTTTTTGTTTGTTTTGTTTTGTTTTGCTTGCCATCTCTTGGTTTGACTTCTGTATCAGTGTCAAACTGTGCTGAACTGACAGGTGAGTTTCAAAACAATCCTTCTTCAATTTTTTGGAAGTGGTATGAGGCTTAGTTTTAACAATGTTTGACAGTAAAGCCTTGTGTGTTGTAATTTTCTTGGCTGGGAATTTTTTTTTAAAAGATTTATTTTTTTATTATTTTTTTATTGGAAAGGCGGATATACAGAGAGGAGAGACAGAGAGGAAGATCTTCCATCCAATGATTCACTCCCCAAGTGAGCGCAACGGGCCAATACCATGCCGATCCGAAGCCAGGAGCCTCTTCCAGGTCTCCCACGCGGGTGCAGGGTCCCAAAGCCTTGGGCCATCCTCTACTGCTTTCCCAGGCCACAGGCAGGGAGCTGGAAGGGAAGCGGGGCTGCCGGGATTAGAACCGGCGCCCATATGGGATCCTGGGCGTGCAAGGCGAGGACCTTTAACCACTTGCGCCACCGCGCCGGGCCCTTGGCTGGGAATTTTTTGATGGATTTAATATCCTTATTAGTTGTTAGGATCTGAAGCAGGGATCTGTTCCCCAAACAGATGCTTAAGCATCAAAGTCTTCTCATAGGTAAAGGGTTAACAGATACATGAAAATGGATTAATGGCAGACTTGATCTAATTATGGTGTCCAGGGAGGTAGGTAGTTTCAGTGAAAGAAGTATAGGTCTTTGGGGATTAGCAGTTGGAAGCCAAAACTTGTGAGATGCTTTGATATGTTAGCAGTATTGCCAGAGACGAGGAGTCATAGGCAAGGCCTTAACTCTAGTGGGAGGGTCAGCCAAGGAGAGAAAACAGGAGCAGAGAGAGAGAGAGGGCATGGAGGGGTGAAGAGGAAGAGGAAAAAAAAAAAAAACAAAAAAACAGAAGAGCTGAGAATGCAGACACACAGAGAGAAAGCAGAAGAAATGGAAGGCAGCTTTATAGTACAGAAGTGAGTATTAGGAGTGGAGTGCAGGACACAGCAGTGGCTGAAGCGGCTAAAGAGGACGCCAGGGAAAAGTCCTGCAGGGATGAGTAGGGCCCTAGAGTACAGTGTCATGAAGTACAGCAGATTGGAGGAGAACGCAGTTTAAACCTAAAAGGCCGTAAGCTTTCTTAGGCAGGTGGACCTTAAGGGGAACCAAGACCCAGGGGATTTAAGGTGGCACCAGGTAAGCAGGTGTTTAAGGTGATGCTAGGTCTAAGATGGTCTACTGTTCCAGTCACTCCTTACAAAACAGAACATGAATCCTGTGTGTTTCACTTTTGTTGTTGTCCATGTGTCCTCCTCCTGCTCATACTCTGCCAGTGCTAGCCTCCATCAGACACCAGACCTACAGGGTCACCTTATCTTGGACTGTGAACGTCCAAATTCTAACCCCAAATAAATGTTTCTCCTTCCTAAGTCTGATCAGATTTTTTTTTAATTTCTTCTTGGTTTAGTCTTGGTAGACAAATATGTTTCTAGGAATTTATGCACTTTTTCTAATGTATCCCATCTCTTTCTGTAAAATTATTTGTAGTAGCCTCTTATACCTTATTTTTCAGGCATCAATTCTAAAATCCCCGCTTCAGTTTCTGATTTCAGTCTTTTTTCCTCAGCTTTGCTAAGCATTTAGTCAGTTTTGCTGAACTTAAGAAAGCACCTATCTTATTGTTCTTTCTATTGCTTCTCTGTACTCTTTCATTTTCCTACTCCTTATTGTTTCCTTCTCACTGCTATTTTTAAATGACAAGTTCAGTTATTGATTCCTAGAGCTTACTTTTTTTAAAACAAAAAAAAAGTGTCCATCACCACAGGCTTCCCTTTTATTACTGTTCGAATCTCCTATGTTTTAATATATTGTATTATTTTAATTTATCTCAAGCTATTTTCTAATTTCCCTTAGTACTTCTTCTTTGACCCATTCATTGTTAAAAAAAAAAAAAAATACATGCCCATGAGCAGAAAACAGAGCTCCAAATTATATGAAATAAACTTTCAGAGAGTTAAAGAGAAAACTAGGCAGCAAGCCACAAATACTGGAGACTATAAATTTCCATTTCTAATCATGAAAAGAGCCTTCACCCACATGATCAGTAAGGAACCAAAGGGCTTGAATAACAGATCAGTTTGGCTTAATAGACAGTGTGTCTATTCTGCTGGTGTTGGGTGGAATGTTTTGTGCTTTTATGTGCATGTATATTTAAAACCATTGTATCTACCTAATGGATCAACGTTTTTACGATTGTGTAATGGCCTTCTTTGTCTCTTTTAATAATATAGACTTAAAATCTATTCTTTGTGCTTACTAATTCTCTGCATTTGATCAAGCTTGCTGTTGAATCCCTTTAGTGAATTTTGCAGTTATGTTAGTGCTTTCATTGGTGTCAGAATATGTATGATTGCTTTGACTAGATTCTGTCTCTCTGCTATAATTCTCGTTTTGTTCCTAAATTACTTTTCTGTCATCTTCTGATTGTCTAAATCTTTTTTGAGCTCGGTTAGCATCATTAAGATGATTGTTTTTGAGTTCTTTGTCAGATAATTCAGATACCTTTGTTCTTTAGAGTCAATTTCTATAGATATTTTTCGTGTTCCTTTGATGGGGCCATGTTTCCCCTTATCTTTGGGTACCTTTTCATCTTGAGTTGAGGTTAGGGCATTTGAAACAATAACCATCTCTCCAAGACTTTGCAGATCACCTTATCAGTTGTCCCAACCAGGACACCTGGGACGGGGTGGGGGCGGCTGTCTCTCAAAACCAAGGGATATGTGTTCTCCAGGTTCCTGTGTGTGATTTCATGGTTAATGAGGTTGCCTGTTTCTTCCCAAGAATTTTAAAGTTCTTGTTCCACTTAGTGGCTTTCTGAATTATTATTACAGTAATTCCGGCACCTCATTTTGGTTCTAAGCGACCGCCCACCTGGCATCTGAAGGGTTACCATTATTTCTGTCAACGCAACACAGAAACCAGTCCCTTGGACTGCCTTGCAAAACACAGGATTTGGGATGTACTTTCTATGCTTTTTCTCTTACAAGAGAGAAGTAGGATTTGAAAATTCTCTCATAATGACCCTATAGTGTTCCAGGAAAGAGTAAGGGATAGTGAAGAAAAGGTACAAGGAAAAACTACCCTTTGGTGTGACTCTTCTTGGCACTGACTTGTCTGAGATGCTACAATCTGTTTGATGGTTTCGAGAATTTTCATAAAGGCAGTCTGATTTGTGTATTGCTATTGAGTCAGTATCTCTATCTGCGGACACAGGCCTAGGGCCTCTTGTCTATTATTTTTCTGATATCCTTCCAACTTAGATTTTTCATTTTGTTGTCGTTGATTTTAGCTCCCACATTTAGGGGGAAACATGCAGCATTTGTCTTTGTGTCTCTGAGTTAGATTTTTAATACATTTCTTTCTGTTTTCTGGAGTCAGCGTTTTGTTTCTGGATTGACTTGTGTGTGTGCTGCATAGACTACATTCTAGACTATATTCTTTCATCATTGTCATCTAAGGAATAAGTGTTGCTTTCAACAGTAAAATATTGGTAATTGTGAGCTATTTTTCTTCTCTATATCCTTCTCCTTGTAGTAGTGTCTGCTTTAGAGGAGCTGGGACTGGAAATAGAGTCTAGGCCATGGACTAGCATGATCCACTAGCTTCCTTGAGAGTTTTGCCACCTGTCCACGAGCCCACAGAAACTTTGGCTTGTATACCAAAGAAACATAGCTATAAGTTTAGACTTCAATAGCTAAAACAAGCCGGTAGAAGAATCTCTGCTCTGAGGCAAACATCTGGGTTTGATTTGGTTTTGCTTTGTCTTTTTGAGCAGTTGTATGGAATCTCTTTGAAGCTCAACATTTTGTTCTTCCAGAAGTTAGGCCTAAGAATAAAGGAATGGGTCTCAAATATTCTGATAGGATTGCTGGGGAAAAATTGATGTATATAAAATATCTTTAAACTCAAATAATCAAATGAGGTAATAGGGAAATGTTCCCACTATAATTCACAGAGGTTATTTTTAACCTCTGTAAACCAACCAAGTGCTAATGGGCCAGAGGGTGTGAGTGTGACTTAGTCATTTGACATCAGACCCCTGCTTTAATTAATAGATATTATTTCTTGTTTCTTCATTTCTTTCTTTTAGGTTAGATGCAGACAGACCAATACGGTACTTGGAAAACAAGGCAGCTTTAAACCAAGCACTGGAACGGTTGAATTGGCCCCTTTCATTGAAAGAGCTGTCGATGCTAGAAAATGAAATCCTCGCTGGGAAAATGTACATCCAGCAGGCCATGGAATTCCAGGAGGCCGCCAAGAAGAATTATGTGAACAAGACGCTGATGGAGGTGGGTGTCTTGGAGTTGTTTCCTCCCTCAGTGCCTGCTGTCATGTGCCAGCCTGCCTTCTCCCCCCACCCCCCCACCTTCACCATACTGACTTAGAGTCAATTCAGTTAACACTTCAGTGTCTTTCTCATTAGAAAAAAAAAAAAGTTTGGTTTTAAGACAGTTTTTTTTTTGTCTCTTTTATTTGAAAAAATAATACTCGTCATGAGTATTAATGCTGTGGTTATAAGCCTGGACTTTGGTAGGAACCTGAACAAATCCTAGCCTTAGATAGACCGCCTAATATGTATGCAATCCTGACCAGTTACCCAGCTTTGGATCTGTAAAATGGGGAGATTCAGAGTATCTGCCACATAGGCTGTAATATGGTCACATTAACCCTTAACACTTCAATAGGAAGTACTTAATGTGTAGCGTTGAAGGCCCATGATAAGTGCTAGTAAGGAATGATGATGAAGATGGTAGTGATGATTAAAATGGAAAAAATATTATATACTGCCTGCCTTAATGCCACAACTTTGGAAAAATATCGTTCAGTTTTGTTACTCTCAAATAAATGGCATTTTACTGAGATACTGTTAGGGCATCCGTAATTGCTTTATATACTGCTTTTCACTTAATGTTACTTTATAAATACTATGTTTTTACTGCATCTTTAGATCAGTGTGGTTGCCTGATATTCCATGGTATGTGTGTACTCTGGTTTACTGGACTCTTTTTTGAATGTTAGACATTTGAGTTAATTTCCAGTTTCTTCCTCTTTCACGTAGTGTCTTCCTGACTGCTGTGGTACATTTGGTTAAAGTATTTTGCTAAGACACCATTTCAGTGGCACAATCCTGCATCCAAGGGTGTAAATGTTTGGAAGTTTTAAATAGAAGTCTCTCCCATTCCTGGCTGCCTTTGGGTGTAAACATGGAAGAATTCACCCAAAACCTTCCTGAGTCCTATATGGTTTCTGGATATTCATTGTATAAGATTCTAAAAAGCATTCCTGCAGAACTACCAATGTTCATGCTTTTCATTTGTCTTTGCTCAGTGATACTAATTTGGCATGGCTTTACCTTCTATAATTTACTGCTTCAGATCCTTGTGTGTTGTTTTTCTTTGCCTTTGTTTTTCCCTCTGCAGATCTCATGTTTGTTTTTTATGTAAAAGCTATGCTTTGTGCACAGAATGTGAATATTTTATTACAAACAGAATGTGTGTACTAACATTGCTGAAGCAAAGCAACTTCCTCCAAAAATTGTTCAGGGTTTCCTTGGGAGGGCTCCAAACCTTCTGCTGTCCTCCCATCACCTTTCTCACCTGGCTACCCTGGGAACACTTGGCACTCACAAGAAGCAAGAGTGAGCTGCGCTTCTCTCCCTGAAAATATGCTCTTCCTCTCATTATGCATCTTCCTGTTCTCTTGTCCCTTCAGATATTTGTTGAATCGTTTATGAGTGCCTATAGGACACAAATTACCATTCTAGGCTCCAGGACAGCTAGAACACAACAAAGTCTAATGAGAGAGATGGAGACCATCCATTATTAGTCCCAGTGATGAATGTTTCTGTGTTGAACTTTGAAGACAGCACTGCCTAAGAACAGAATTTCCTAGGATTATCTTCTCTACTTGTCATGCTAACTTTGGGAATAGGACATGTTGCTAATAGAAGGAAAACAAGTCACTTGTTCTACTGGATTTTCCTGGAATACCAGCAATCAAAAGCTCCTTGTTCAGAGGACATAAATTCATTGCTTGCTTACTTGCTTGCTTGCTTCTCTTTTCACAAAGTAAAAATCAAATTGATTTTCGTAATTTATTCATCCAACAATACCATGGATAAACCCTAGTGCTCGGCAAAGGCGATCCCAGAAAGACTAGTGTGTCTCATCTCTTTCCTTGAGTTCTCCCTAGGAGATACTATAAATTGGATACAAAACTAGTTCTGTTACCTGCACTGAGCATGTGGGCCCAGGATAGTGGATGAGACATAGTGGAATAGAACACAATTCCTATGAGAGCTGACCTTACTGGTAGCTGTGCCCAAAGCACTGGTAAACTTGGCTACCAGAAGGCATTCAAGCAGTGTACGTTGAGTGAATGAAACCCAAGTCTTTATAAAACAGTATTATAAATGTGACAAGGCAGCACACTCAGAGAACAACTGAAAGGAAAAGGTATATAACTCTGCCTGGAGATTTCTGGATGGCTTCACTGAGGGGTAACAATTCAGTATGCTTCAAAGATATACTGGAAATGGGAATTGGGATGTGAAAGAAGTATCTTGTGCAAAGGCAGGCATGCAGGGAAGGAACTGGATGTTATAAAACAAAAGAAAATAAAAAATGAGGTGAGAGATATATGGGAACAAGGAGGTGATTCCAGAATAGAATGGACTCAGAATTCTTTGTTGGAATCAGGGACTTGTGCTGGTGAGAAATATACAGGAATGGATATCAGCAAATGGGAGACATTAACATACTTGTGTTTTGGAAAGATCATGTTAGCAGCATGTTGAGTCTCAATGTAAAATCAAAAGCAGCGTTCCTGTGCAGAGGTGTGGAGTTCTTGAGTCAACAGGAACGGTGAGCTAGGTGTGAACAGGTGAGACGTGGGTTGTTGGAAAGTTGAGTTGTAGTGAGTCAGAGGACAAAGTTGAAGATGCCCAAAGAATCACTGTGTTGAGCAATTTAAGGACAAAAATATTGTTAACTTCCCCCTCCTACCCCTTTGCTCTCTGGGAAGACATATGTTCGTGGGCTGTTCCCTCTAATCCCCCGTCATTATCCTTTTCCTTGCCACACTGGTATTCACATTACAGCATCTTTTACTACCTGATATAGTGTACACATATGCTTATGGTACTCATTCCCTTCAAGGATAAAGGCACAATTGGACTCTTGTGTTGTAGGTACCCTTAGGGCCTAAAAAAGTGGTTGGTGCCTTTTGGACCTCATAAGTATTTTAATGACTAAGTGAGAAAGAACAAGCAGAGAGAAAAGCATGATATATAAAGAGCAGATTTTCAGGAAGATGTAGAGATTTCACCCTTTGATTCTCAGGTGTCCACAAGGCATGCCAGTGGGAAAAGCCCACAGACAACCCTATATTCAGGGCTTAGGAGATAAGATTGAGTTAAGGTGAGAGATTTGGAGTCATTTGCAGTGCCAAGAGGAAGAGGAGACAATGGAATGGAGAGACCTCAAAGTGAGGAAAGTAGGAAGTTTGGAGTCGATGGCTTACGGTGTGAAAGTCAAGGCAAAGAGGTAGTTCAGATTGGTGGCTCCCAATTCCAGACCAACATGGATGCAAGTCTCAGCACTGCCACTTGGACCATGTAAGCCTCCACGGGTCCTCAGAACCTGATTTCCTCATCTTTAGAATAGAAATATCAGAGCATCAACCTGAAAAACAGAGGATAGTGCCCATCATGTGCTCAGGATGGTGTGCAGTACTGAATGTTCAAGCAGTAAATGCATATCATTCATTCTTGCAATTTTGTTCCTAAAGTTATGACCAAGGAGTCTGAAAAGCTACACAGAGTCATATCTGAAAGCCATTTGATTTGGCTAAGAGAGGGCTCATTAGTAAAGGGAGCCAGATGATTGGCAATAGAGCTGTAAGTGCTGAGGCTAGCTTGTCTTGAATGGAGGGCGTAAGTAGAATTTGAGAAAGTCTACATAAGAGGTGAAGACCTGTCTCTAAACCCTTCTGTGGAAGGCAGGAAGAAATGGGGGAGTTTGAGAGGTGAGCCGGTGTGGGAGGCAGCATATAGTGTGCGTAATGGTTCTCCCTGAACTAACTACAGTCCCCCTGCTTGACTAGGGGTGCGGCTGTCTCATCCCTGGCCTGGTCTCACAATCCAGGGAAATTCCCATGTGTCCTGGACATTTCTCTAGGAGACAGGGGTTCAAACTTCAGCAGATTATCTTTGGAGTTCTTTCCACTGTCAGCGAAAGTTTCCTTACAATGAAAATTTCTCCCTCCCATCCCCCAAATTTATATGCTTAAATCATTTCATTTTTATCATGCCCCCCTGATTTGACTTCCTGGCCCATTCACAAGTCTCGACCTCCAGTGATGCAAAGGTTGACTGGTTCAAGATTGCTAAGCCTTTGGAAATCTTGAGATGGAAAATATATCACAGATGCAAGTCATTTTTTATGAGCATTGAATCACCTAGAAATACTCATACAGTCTCATTTTAAATTCTTTAAGCAAATGCCAAAGATTTTGACTGATGATCAGAAAATTGGGAAGGAATCCTCTGTTAATCGTTAAGACTTTCCCCGCCCATAGAGTTTATTGCTAATGTGTGCAGCACAAGGTAGTCAACATTCATTTACTGTGAGGCCCAATCAGTAATGCCTGCGTGTGCTCTGAAGGCTGTGGTCATGATATTAAGTCCACTCCAGGGTACATGAGGGAGTCTGGCTGTCTACAGTTTTCTGATGCCATCTCCGGAGTGATGTTGACTTTCAGGAGAGCTTCCCTGCTGTTTCCTGAGTGTGAAATTTTCCTGTCATCAGTGAGGACTAGAGGTGGAAAGTCCTTCTACCATGCTTAAAGCCTCTCATGCTTAAAGCCCTGCTGGCATTGCCTGACTGCCCGCCTCCACTACCCACCCGGTCACCCAACCCCAAGCCAGACCTAATGTGAGAACCATTCTTTTCACCTGCTCTGTCCACCATTCTGCCAGCTTGGGGGCATTGCATACTTGCCTCTCTCTGTAATGGCCTCCCCCTGTTTCCATAATCCATTCCCTTTGCAATATCCTCGAGACAAGTGGCCAGCTCTGTGATTGCATGATGAAAGAAGAAAATCTGCAGTCTGAGAACTTCTTCATTAGAACCCCAGTTGTTCCCATGACTGCAGATCTCACCCTCACTGGCCAATCCTTAGAGCTAAGCAACAGTGGAAATCACTGAGGGCATCTGTGAATTCTAATTAAGCTGCCCTGGGCTCGGAGGAGCCTGACCCAGGGCAGCCTTGCCCTCCCGTAACATTTTCT